GCAGACGTGGATTTGCAGCCCTTTCTTGGAAGAGCGGCACTGTCCACATAGCTCCCCCAGTGACCCCTGTCTGCTTTCCTTTAGGAAGTGCTGCTTAAGAGGGCAGCGGACCTCGTGGAAGCCTTGTATGGGATGCCTCACAACAACCAGGTAGGTGGCTCGCGCCTCTTCTCTCCTGCCCCTCTCCTGGTGACTGGCGTCATTGGTGGTTGGCTGGAACATTCTGCTACATGCTTTCTGGGCCCACACGTTTGTCATGATGACGGCTCAGCCAGAATCTGATGAGAGAGGCTTCCTGTGCATGCTTCACACTAAGTGTCCATGTAGATAATGACGAGTTGGTGACAGGGCCCAAAAGTTGAAGGGCTTCTACAGGAAAGGACACAGCTTTGAAATCTGCCCACAGTGGTCAGTGGTGGGTGGGATAGGTTGGGTGCTGCTGGGGCTTAGTGGGGCAGAGGGGTGACCCACTGTTGTCCCTACCAGCCAGGGAGTCTCCAAAGACCCTCTGGAGGTGGACCCAGTTTTGGAGTCCGGTGTGTCCATGCTCCCGATTCCCACGCACAGCCCAGGGCCTTCAGCACTCAGAGCATCAGGCCATCATTTTCCTAAGGGCGGTTCCTTTCCCATCAAAAAGTAGGTTGTCTCAGTCTGACGACTCAAGGAATGCCACCACTGTGTTCCTGGCCTTGCATGACAGGCTCCTTATTCCCTCTAGGAGATCATCCTGAAGCGAGCCGCCGACATTGCTGAGGCACTGTATAGCGTGCCCCGCAATCACAACCAGATACCCACCCTGGGCAACACTCCGGCCCACACCGGCATGATGGGCGTGAATTCCTTCAGCAGCCAGCTAGCCGTCAACGTGTCAGAGACATCGCAAGCCAACGACCAAGGTAGGCCACCGTGCCAGGCAGACCCTTCCCGGGCCCCACGGGGATGGTTGGGGCCTTAGTTACAGTTGAAGGTGTGGGCCCTGCTGGGGAGTGCCGCTCATGTCTTGTCCCCTCCAGCCTGGCTGGGTCATCCTCTCCAGGGAAGACCGTGCCACACACTCTGCAGCTAGTACTGGGCCAAGAAGGCTCGGAGAACCAGTGCTAGTGCCACAGCCGCATCAGCTGCTGCTCAGCTCCCTGGGACTGCAGAAGCTCCCTTCAGCTGACCCATAATGACTTTGTATGCCTTGGTAGGCTGGGCTGAGCCACAGGCCAGCCTAGAGCAGGAAGCCAGCAGGAACTTCTTGGATATGCTGCAGGGGTGGGATTTGGATTCCTTGTTTGGAATGCCTCAGTGGAGAGAAACCCCACTTCCCCACCCTGCGTCTTATCCCAGAGGACAGTGACCTGGGCCCACCGAGGTCACTGCTGCATGTCTTTGAGCTGGTTCTTTTGAGTCCATTTCGGTCCATTTCCTCTTTAAAAATGGTGCAGGCAGTAATCTCAGGACCACCTCCACCGTGCCGCTGGGTCTGATCCTGCTCATCCACGCTCCTGTGGCAGGAGAGAAGCTACCGTGTCCCGCCCCACCCCCACTCACAGAAATAGCAGTTGTAAGAATGAAGACCCCTAAAGCAGCCTCTGCAGGGAAGTTACGGCCACAAACAAGCTCCCCCTGTCAGCCCTGGCATTTGAAGGTCTGCAGAGGCTGGAAGTTCAGAGAGTGTGGGGGGACAGGCCAGGAATCCGAGCTGTTGATAATTGCTTCTAAAGAGAACCGTGAAAGCAACTGACGGTTAGATCGAAGTGCGCCGTGGCCGGCTGTCGAAGCCGACAGAGACAGAGGGGCTCGCCGAGGAGACGGCCGCAGTAGGGTTGGTGTGATAAGGTTGTCTGAGCTGGCTGGAAGCACAGAGCGAGAGGCAAGCATAGGGTCAATGAAAAATGTTTAATATATGATATAGGTTCTCGGGGAAACCCCCCCCAAGTGTCTGTCACTGATAATAATGTTATTTTTGGCCGGGGGGGGATTTCAACAGTCGGCTACAGTCGCAATACAAGCAGCGTGTCCCCGCGAGGATACGTCCCCAGCAGTACTCCCCAGCAGTCCAATTACAACACAGTCAGCACTAGCATGAATGGATATGGAAGTGGCGCCATGGCCAATCTAGGGGTCCCTGGCTCGCCTGGATTTCTTAATGGCTCCTCCGCTAACTCTCCCTACGGCAGTAAGTGTCTGTTTTTGTCACACGTCATCACGCACATTCATATTCACTACGAGGTCGAGTGTGTGCATTGCTTGGATGTTCTGTGATGTGAGCTACTGGATAAAAGGAAGGGTGGCCCCAGAGGCTGGGCGTCCCAATGACGACCACAAATTGACCTAAAGGGGCCCCAACGCCATTGCTTTGGCAACCAAAACAAAATCGGAATGAAACGGGGCTGCTCGATTGGAAGAGAGAGTCCAGCACTCAGTGTTTGCCTGTTATCCAGAGAGTGGCCCAGCCAGAAGCATGTCGTGTCCTGTTTCGTGGCCCCTCCCTGTTCGGGGCGAGCCCGCGCGTGCTGACCGTGTTTGCTTTGTTGCAGTAGTGCCGTCCAGCCCCACCATGGCAGCCTCTTCGGTCACCCTCCCTTCAAACTGTAGCAGCACACACGGCATTTTCTCATTCTCACCTGCCAATGTCATCTCCGCAGTGAAACAGAAGAGCGCCTTCGCGCCTGTGGTCCGGCCCCAAGCCTCGCCGCCTCCCTCCTGCACCAGCGCCAACGGGAACGGACTGCAAGGTGAGGGCGGTGGGGGGAGCGCGGGCCCTCCGGGGGCACGTTTTCAGACTCCTCGCATGGCCTGCGGCATTGCATGTGCTCCATCGGTCCATGTCCGCCCCCAGACCCATGTGCAGGACACCCATTCACTGAGCCCCAACAAGTACCAGATTCTGTCTTGTGGTTTTGGTCCACCTCATCCTTCCAAGATGACCTAGTGTCCTCCTGGTAGAGCACCCGTTCCCTGACGTGTGAGGGAAGAAGGGAAACACACAGCCATGGTCATTTTCAGTCCCATTGTGTACTGGGCCTTCAGCCAGTCCTGCCCCTTCTTGGTCCAGGGCATACCCCCGCCTGTATCTCCTGGGCTTGCTGCTGCCTGTGGAGCCATCTCAAACTCTGCCCACTCTTCTTGTCCTGAGGCCGAGCCTTCCTCCTCAATCTTGCCTGACAGACGACCAGTCCACACGGCTTTGTCGTCCCTTGGCGAAGGGTGTGCTTTTTCCAGGCCCAGGGCGCCATGTGCGTCAATGCTGGGCTGACGGCCTTCCGCGGACAGAGATGGAGTTTCCTGAGTGTTCTCTTTCAATTCAGAAGGAGAAGGGCTGCCCCAGGGCGTGGGAGGCATCGCTTGCCAGGGCCGCGCGGAGTGGGCACCCAGCACCCGCCCAGTGCAGGGCGGGCGTGTGGCCCCTGAGTGTGCAGCAGACAGAGCTGCCGGGGTGCCCCTCGGTCTCGTGAGCTTGCGTGTGGCTCTGTGATGTACTGAGGCCCACAGGCACTTGAATTAAGTGGCCGTCATCTGGCCTCTTTCAGACACCACCTTTGGTATATGCTCCTCCCGGTGAAAATCAAATCCAGTTACTCCTTTAAAAAAATGAATCCATTCAACCAGTATTTACTGAGCGCCTACTATGTGCCAGGCTCTCTGCTGGGTGCTGAGGACGTAGCCGTGGAGAAGACAAACTGGCCCTTTTGTGAAGTCGGTGGCATATTTCACTTTGATGAACTAATGCTCAAAAAAGGAACTGGAAAGGTATCCGTGATTTGAAATCATTGTCTCACAACCTCTGTCAGTGTCTGAAGGGACGCCCAGGCCCCCAGGCGCCGCCGACTGGCCTCTGTGCCATCAGCGGGCACCAAAGCAGCATTGCTTGGCAGGCAGGTGGTGAGGAGCCAGGGCCTGTCTGCGGACACGGCGTCTAGGCCGACCGAAAGATGGTGCCCCTGGAGCAGTGTGTACGTACACAGGCCTTCCAAACCATAAAGTTGTAACGGTGAGTCGGAGATAAATTAATATTGTTGGAATTAATGAACTGAGAAATTGAAGCTCACATCACTACATGAACAAATGTGTTAATATGTTATACATAAATTAATGAGAACGATCATTTTGACAAAAATTAAACAACACTGGAGTTAAAAGAGTTTAAATTACATTCATACCAGGAGTTCGCTGGGAAGCTTCGACTGCACTTGGTATTTCAGTGCCAAGTTTCTCTTTGACTCTGAGAAGAGCATAGAGCTCCCTGAAGCCGTGCTGTGCCTCACGTCTCTTCATGGCCCTTGGCCTTGAGACTCGGAGCGGGTGGCCCTGAGCAGCTTTGACCTGAGAGCCCCTGACTCACCATTACGCTGCAGAACAGTTAGCAGGCGGTCAGAGCCAGGCCCAAAGGCAGAGGGGAACTGAGGCGAGTCTGGTTTCCACTTAAGGAGGAAGAGCAAGGCCTTGGCCGGTGTCACAGGAGTGACCTGGCCGGTTCCCATCTCTGGACAGAGGGGAGTCCGGGCCTCCACTTGCTTTGTACAAAATGCCGAGATGTGTGCACATTGGCAGGCTTTTGGTTGCACACAGAGTGTCAGAAATTATTTGCAAAGGAGGTCTGTGGGGGGCTGCCTGTGGGGGCCCTGCCGCCCACGCACCCCTGCCCCGTGAAGTTGAAGTAGGTCTCCCAGCGCCCTCAGCCACACCCCAGGCTGGTTAGTGGAGGACGTGCAGAGCCTCCCTTCTTGTTGACCAAGGCAGAGGGGCGCGCCTAGGCCCCGCAGAGGGAGTGCGGGTGGCGGCCGGCGGTAACTGTTTGTCCCTTCTCTGTTGCAGCTATGTCTGGGCTGGTAGTCCCGCCCATGTGAGGGACTCTAGTTTACCTTGCGCAGCACCCAGCATCCCAGGACGGACTTCAGGGGACACGTGTAGTATGTTAAGACATGCTGAGGAAACTATCTTCAAAAAATCAGCAGCAGTTGAAACGCTACAAAAGACATTGTTCAAAGATTTTATTTAAACTATGAAGAATCGACATGCAACCCACCTGCTCCTTCATGAACAGTTCCATCTGGCTGACTGAACTCTCTCATGTTTCCACACTTCAGTCCTGAAGAAGGAGGAAAGCAAAGCAGCGCCTATTTTGTATAAAGTTTCTGACTCCGTCTTGGCTGTGTAGTGCTATCTGTGTGGAGAAACTTCATGAATGCACCATTTCGATGACCATGACACACTGAGGAAAAATGCCTCCAGACATTTTTCTGCACTCATACTTAGATTCACAATGGTTGTGTATCTCTATAATGTGAAATATTTTTTTGTGGTGAAAAAAGGGGGCCAAGGAGGTATGAGCCATCAAACTGGAACAGAGGATGACTACATGGTTAGGAGAATCTGGGGTGGCCGGGAGGGAGGGAGGGTTGATCATTGCTTACCTTCATCTTAATGAAACGAAACTTTGTAACTTATTGTAGTTAGAAATTGTAACTTTGATATTGAATTCTCTTGCCTTCAACAAGCACACTGACAGAGAAAAGATGCTACTGTCTGTTGGTTCCAATATTCTCCCACTGCTAGAGCTTCCTGTTAAGCGAGTGCGGTCTGCAACATTTTTTCAACTTTTGCTAGCACTGTATACTATTGCATTCTTAGGCTACTGTGAGGTCTATGTTTCTTGTACCAGAAATTGTCCTTTTGACTTCTAGGTCCTTCTTCCCTGTGTTTTGTATGTGGTTATAAAATTGTAGACTTTTGTGATTTTGCCAAAGTTGTAGCTAAATATTTATACACTTGTCTTGAATTTTTTTCAGATCCACTTAAATATTTAGAAAAATGAGTTTTATTCCTTATGAGTCTTATAAGGGATAAAACGGTCTCCATCTAACACGTACTTTACCACGAACACTTGCAGTTGCTAAGGGACTTTATTTTGTAACATATCAATTATAAATATTGTATTTATCTTTGACATTTTGTACATTGCTTTCCCACTTTTTTCTTTTCCTTGTGTGTTTTGGTTTTTGATCACGCCTGGTGTGGTGACGCCGGGAAGGGATAAGCCAAGAACTGTCTCTCTGACCTGTTTCGTTAGATGAACCAGTGTCCTCACATTTCATTTGTACTTCAAATGTTTGTTATTGTTTAGACTTTCCATCTCTTTTTTTTATTATTTTGAGGAAAAGTCAAATTCATTGTTTATTTTTATATTATTTTTAAGTTATCTGAGCAAATACTTTTGAAAAAAAAAAGTTCGTTGTATAGTCAAAGCAAATCGGTGCCACCGGCCGCGACAAATCCTAGTAGATCCCGTGCATGTGGAGCGGCCGCGGAGAGGCGACGCCATTTGGGGCTGTGTCCTTATTTTATTTTTTGTAGAATGTACAAAGTCATTTTAGCTGCCACCCATGACTTCGCCACATAGCTGAACTGTGTTTACTGGAAAAATTCAGAGGCCTAAAGTTTAAAATAAAATTTACTTCTGATGTTTTAATTAAAATGTTTGCCACATTAACTTCTCTGATGCCTTAAAAGTGGACTTCTTTGAAAAACTTCTGTGCTATTTTATCACAGGCTTACACCACAATTATTAATCGGTATTTGATTTGGAGATTTAAGATGTAAAATGCACACACACACACACACACACAATAAAAGCACAAACCTCCTGTCTGTAGGTCGTTCCTTCCTGGGTCTGTCTCTGCTGCTTTCCGCACCCTTCCAAGCCCACCTTGGGTTCAGAGGTCAGGGGCAACCCAAATCACTGCTGGTTTTTAATTTTTTTAAACGATATTTTTGTGGCTGGATTCAACAGCACCGTCTGTGCTTTTTAAACTGGAATGACCTCCTCAGACACTGTGCCCGTTAGTGCCAAACCCACAGTGAGACCAAAAGGGTCAGGACTTTTGCTCTTTGTTCTGTTCTGTTCTGTTTTTGCCTTTGCACTAAATGCTTTGCAGACACAGCACGGCAAGCATTTTGCAAACTGCCGCAGAAATCAAATTTAAAACTAAAGGAGGACTTTTTAAAACTTTTTTGACAAACAAACAAACAAACAACAATGCACAACTTAGAAAATGTTCGTTCAAGGGACTCAGTAAAATAAACAGACCATCCCCAGCAGTCGGCAGGTCACACTCTCGCATGTGACGACCGACAAGGCTTAGCTACGTGGGAAAGCCTGAGAAGTCACTTTGGAACTAAATTGCCTCCGTGTTATTTTGTGTAAGTAAAGGTTTAATCTAGAGAGAGCTCACGTGCACACGTGAAGGACGTCCGCGAGGGTCCTCACTGCACTTGGTTTTGTTTTAGATCGGTTAGTCGACGCCCTCATTGCTTCACTGTCTCGAAATTGAGCGCTTCACTAAATGGTAGATTTTGCTGTCGAAGACCCTACAATAAGATTGTTTTATCTGTACATTTTTTCAGATATTTAACTGTATAAAATGTTCATTTTACACAATATTTAATTAAAGTATTTCTTGTCTGTGAATTTCACCTTTGGTGATTTTATCTGTTTTGATTATTAAAATGACTGACACGCGTGTGCGTTCCCTTGGAGGTTTCATTTGTACATCCTGGGTCCCCGAATCGAGTCTTGGCTGAGGTCAAGATGATCCTTCCAAGAACCTGCCATGGAGTTATCCATCCTCAGTGCCCCCACCTGCCTAGACACGTTCAGCAAACACTTCCCAGTGTGGCCCCCGAGACGCCATCTGTGTGCACGCTGCCCTAGCATGTATAGGTCTGACTGTGTTTGTGTGCGGATGCAGGGTTGCAGCACACTGGGTGGCCCGGCTGCTGAGCAGCCTGTGGTCTCTGAGGATGCTGATGGTCCTGCAGCAGGCCAACCAGCCCTCTGTTCCTGAACAGGGGCCTTGGTGTGTACAGAGCAACCCTGTTGGATTTTCCAGCTGTGTCCCTTCTGTCTCCATTGCTGTACCCACTTGGGTAAAACCCAGGCTAGAGAGAGCACATGGAGCGGCTCCAGGTGGGCGGGCAGGGCGAGGCTGGAGCACCCAGAGGTCATCACCCTTTGCATCAGCGCAGTGACACGCCCTACCCTGTGTTCTGCACCAACGCTGCTGGCTGTGCTTAGGTGTAGCCAAATGCACCACTCTAATGAGGTCAGCCATCCGTGCAGGTTCTAATTTACACAGCTTCTGCAAGTTTCCTCTCCCGGCCCCCTCACTCAGGATTTTCCATTTTCTCCTCAATGAAAGGCTGCTTTGCATGTTTTGGCTTGCAGCTTTATAACACATACACACAAGTGTGATCTAAATTAGTACTCACAAATGTCATCTTAATTACTTGTTCTGCTGAGCAAAACAGGAAACAATTACTCAAAACATAAAGAAACTTGTGAATACCTTTTTCTCCTGTCAATGACAATCGGGTCCCTTTACAGTCCTGTCCCAGCCTTAAAGAGACAGTAAGAGGCTGGTAGCATATAAACTCACAGCCGGCCCACTGCCCTCGGCCCTCCCCTGCAGCCAGGCTCCTTATCAAGCCTCCAGGGTTGGAGAAGTTGCTGCCAGCCATGGGGCTCCTTCCCACTGAGCTGGTACCAGGAGTGTCCACTCCTTGGAACTGGCCCATGTAACCTAGGGGGAGAGAGAAGTTATTTTATGTTTGTGTTTCAAATCAGAATCGCTTTCTCTCAAAATGTATGCCGATTATTGTCAGGCCACCTTTTAAGGTCTTTCAAGCTTTTAAAGATTATTCAAAGCACTTGAAATGGGCTTCAATCTAATGCCTCATTTCATTGCATTAAACAGCCTAGTTAATAAAGAATCAATATATTCAAAGGGCAAGGTTATCTTTTGTCTATAAGGGGTGGTGTCATTCTGAACCTTTTATAGTTCAAATGCTGAAAAAGACCTCGTGAAATCTATACTCATCAAGTGGGTCAACGAGAGCAATAAAGAGCTGAAAGGAGAGAAGCTGCCCTCCTCTAAAACAACTCCAGGCCTTATCTCCCTGCTTGGGGCGCCCAAAGAAGGCCTCAGAAAATGTCAATTTCTCATCAAGACAAGAGGCCATGATGATCATTTTTTCCAGAGAATACATACAATTAAGAGAATGCAGAGAGGCGGCCACCATGGTGATTTGTAGCTCATTCTGGCCCCATGAGTTGCGAGCTCCCTCCCAGCAGATAAAAAGGGTTGTTGATAACTAAAGTGTCAATATGCCAAAGAGCGATTTTTGAATGTGAGTCCTTGTGCTTTGAGCTCTCTGGGCCGATCCCAGGCCCTGATAACAGCACAGCTGCCAACAGACACCACGGGTTGGCCCTCACAATTAATGCCACGAATAAATCACACAAAAGAGTTGGGACGCTTTATACTCAGTGAGACAATCCCCTGTTCTACCCTTCAAGGATTCCTTTTATGTTGGAATAAGGTTGCTTTTAATGAAATTTAAACTCATCAGAGGAAATCAAAAACCTCCAATCAGATGACAAATTGATTTTTTGGTCATTTGTCATGTCCCAGTGTAGAGCCGCAGGTTTCACAGGGAGTTAAGTGGCCATTCTGGGGCTGGGAGCAAGGATGGACCCAGTCCCACCCACCCCACCCCAGCCTGGATTCAAATGGGAGCTCTGGGGTTCTGGCTGAGCCCGTCCCACCAGTACCCACAAACTGAACCCATGACAAGAACAGGGGCCGATCAGCTCTGAATCCAGCCACAGCTTAACAGCCTGGGGTGGTGCCCTTGTCAGAACATAGCAGTTCCCAGGATTGTGTGCACTCAGATCCTTGCCGGCCCCTAGGGACATGCGCTCCTGGGTTGGTCTCCACCACACCAGCATCTGCCCTTCCCCACACCATGGCTGACTGCAGAACAGGACAGAGAACTTCCCAGGGCACCCAGTTCCATGCAGCAAGAGCCTGTGAGCTGGGCAGGACTGGGCAGGAGGAGAATCTGGCCGACTCCTCCCAGGACAGCCAGTCTACGTCCATCCAAACAGACGTCCTCCTGGGCAAAGCCTGCCCTGCCCCAGGCTCTGTCGTGCCTCTCCTTGCAGCCATTGGCCACCAGCCTCACCAGCTTCCTGCAATCCCTGTGCAGACCTGAGCTCTCAGGGGCCACACGTGGCCATGCCCTCCTCAGTTCTCGCCCCTGTGTCAGGGCAGCCACTTCTGGCTGGTGGTCCGACAAGGGAAGCAAAGGTCCCACTGAGGATCTGGGACTTGTGTGAGTCTGGAAGGGCATTTTGTCCCCACTGGGAAGATTGGGGCCAGGGAAAGATAAGGCTGCTTTCCAGAGGAAGTGAACATAATTTCTGATTCAAAATTCCTCGGAGACCACCTTTTAAAATACAATCCCTAAAGATAGCAGAATATCACACATTTTTCCAACAGCAAATACTCCCGTCTACAGTGCCTGGTGGTTTGTAGAACATTTGCTCCATCCTCCTAGAGCACCATGTTGGGACGGTGCTCCATGCCCAGGTGGCGAGACTCAAGTTCAGCAAGGTTGGTGGCCAGCCCAGGTCACAGGCTGGAAGAACCAGGAACAGATGCCAAATAAAGTCTCCAATCTCCAAACCTTCTACTCCCCCCCCCAACTTAGGTTCCATATACCTCAGGAATTACAAACAAGGGGAGGGAAGAGAGACTGTGCTTCCCAGGAAGATCCCAACCAACCCACTGCAGGGATCAGAGGGCATGAATCTGCCCAACCACCTGGACAGGCTCTAAGTGGAAACTAGCTGATCTAGCAGAGGTTGGGGGGGGGGGGTCTTACAAGGGCCTCATTTCAGGACACAGAAAATGCCATACATCCACACACCTAAAATCTTTGGGATGAGGCTCATCTCCCTGGGTCTTCAAAACTCCCAGGGGCCTGCAGGCTGGTCCACCTCCTCCTTGGGTTGACCCATGCCTGCACATGGGTCTAGACGGACCAACATGCCTGTGCATGCAGGTGCCTTGGTCCATGCAGCATGTGTAGGACACCAAGCTGTCACATGGAACAGCTGTGGGAGGACGGTGTTGTCGAGGGTCAGAGGCAACTTCAGAGGGGTTGGGCAATAAGGGTCAGCCTGGTGACAAGGCTCAGCACAAGTTGGCTGCTGTTTAATGCTGGCAAGATGATGGTGGGAGTGGAAAAGGGTTAAGGAGGGGATAAGAGGAGCCATGGTTTTAGTGGCAGAGTTAGAATGCATTACAACAAATCAGAGGTGTTGACAGAAGAAGAAATGAAGGGTCAGAAGGGACCACCAGCATCTCCCACTAGACTGTCTCAGCAGATGGCTCTCCCTATTGACACTGTGCTGATGACAGGCAGTGAGCAACAGGGACACTTGGCCATTGTGGGCATAACCCATTAGCTAAGGATGAATCCAAATGCAGGTTTCCACCTGTAAGAACCAAGTTCTTTACTGCCCCAGGCCACTATTAGAGGCTGGCAGAACACAGGTGGTGCTGGGATGGAACCTCAAGTTGAGAGAAAAAAAGGCAACCGTCACATCAAAGGGTCTTTCCCTAATGCACCACGAGCATTTGCAAATCAATAAGGCTTGATGAACACCCTAAAGAAGAAAGGACAGATCCAGTTAATTCACAAGGGAACAATAGAGTGATCAATAAGCTTAGGAAATGATAATCAATCTCACTTAAAAATACACACCAGATTGAAATAATAAGTTGAAAAAAAATTTCACCTATTAAATTAGAAAAGATCTCTCTTAAAAGCCAATGCTCCGTGCTGTTGGCAGAAGAATGGGCATTCTCACACAGTCCTCAGTAGGTCAGTAAATGGCAACACCCTGCTGGACAGCAGTCCAACACCGTGTCCAGCAACCTCAAATTGTTCATGACCTCTCCACTCATGGACCCTGCTTCTAGAAACCAACCCTGAGGAAGTCATCAGAGATCAGACAAGACCTTACGGACACAATCATCCATAGCAGTAATCTTTATTAAAAATTTGGAAAGTATCCAGATGGCTAAAAATAGACCTTGCTAATTATGATAGAACCACATAATGCAGTATTACATTGTATTAAGCCACTAATATCTTGACTGTGAAGTGTATTTAATGAAATGGTGAACACCAATGACACAAGTAAGCATACGATATTGTGTATATGACATAATTCCAATTGGTCCATTTCTAGAGAGAAGGCAAGAATAACACACAGGTGTATTCATGTATACATATAAACACTTGTCAGAATTATAGCAAAATTAAGCTGGTATTATGAGGGGTAAAAATTAACATATTATATCCATATTTTCCAAGTTTTCTGCAAAATAGGCTGGAGGGTGTATGTTTCAGAGTACACTGCTAACCATGTCACAAGGGAGGAGAACTCTTCTCCATGGACAGGATTGTGGGAGGATTGAGGCCTTTCAAGGGAAGAATAACCCAACCTATCTCCTCCAGCTGACTCCTGGAGTTGGTCCACTCTTGCTGTGTTGGTACCTTGGACAGGATGCAGACACTGCACTCTGCAGAGGTTCTCACAGGGCACTACAAGAGTGCATGAACTTCAGAGAGAAGTGTTGTGAAGCACCCAAGACACTTCC